TTTGTGGAGTGTGGGAGGAGAGCTGAGGGGCCTGCCAGGCTCAGCCTACATGTGCTGAATAGACCTTGGAGTATGCTCTCTCTGGCCAATCAGCTCTGAAAACCACTTAGGCAATCAAATAAACCCAAGCACTTTGTTACTGAAGGGTCTGCACACTACAGACCTGACACCTCCCCTTAGTTAAGTGCCAGGACAATGCTGTGAGCTACCAGAATTCCCAATCATAGAATATATGGGTTGGAAGAGACGTCAGGAGATCGTCTAGTCCAATCCACTGCTCAAGGCAGGACCAACACCAACTAAATCATCCCAGTGAAGGCTTTGTCAAGCCGGGCCTTAAAAACCTCTAAGGATGGAGATTCCACCGCCTCTCTAGGTAACCCATTCCAGTGCTTCACCACCCTCCTAGTGAAATAGTGTTTCCTAATATCCAACCTAGACCTCCCCCACTGCAACTTGAGACCACTGCTTCTTCTTCTGTCATCTGCCACCACTGAGAACAGCCAAGCTCCATCCTCTTTGGAACCCCCCTTCAGGTAATTGAAAGCTGCTATCAAATCCCCCCTCACCTCTTCTCTTCTGTGACTAAATAACCCCAGTTCCCTCAGCCTCTCCTCATAAGTCATATGCCCCAGCCCCCTAATCATTTTCATAGTCCTCCATTGGACTCTCTCCAATTTGTCCACATCCCTTGTGTAGTGGGGGGACAAAACTGGACACAATACTCCAGATGTGGCCTCACCAGTGCCAAACAGAGGGGAATAATCACTTCCCTTAATCTGCTGGTAATGCTCCTTCTAATACATCCCAATATGGCATTGGCCTTCTTGGCAACAAGGGCACACCGCTGACTCATATCCAGCTTCTCATCCACTGTAATCCCCAGGTCCTTTTCTGCAGAACTGCTGCTTAGCCAGTCAGTCCCCAGCCTGTAGCAGTGCATGGCATTCTTCCTTCTTAAGTGTAGGACTCTGCACTTGTCCTTGTTGAACCTCATCACATTTCTTTTGGCCCAATTCTCCAATTTGTCAAGGTCACTCTGGACTCTATCCCTACCCTCCATCATATCTACCTCTCTCTCCAGTTTAGTGTCATCTGCGAATTTGCTGAGGGTGCAATTCATCCCATCATCCAGATCATTAATAAAGATGTTGAACAAAAACGGCACCAGGACCGACCCCTGGGGCACTCTGCTTGATACCAGCTGCCAACTAGACATCGAGCCATTGATCACTACCCATTGAGCCCGAAAATCTAGCCAGCTTTATATCCACCTTATAGTCCATTCATCCAATCCATACTTCTTTTAACTTGCTGGCAAGAATACTGTGGGAGACCGTATCAAAAGCTTTGTTAAAGTCAAGATATATCACATCCACTGCTTTCCCCATATCCATAGAGCCAGTTATCTCATCATAGAAGGCAATCAGGTTGATCAGGCATGACTTGCCCTTGATGAATCCATGTTGACTGTTCCTGATCACCTTCCTTTCCTCCAAGTGCTTCAAAACGGATTCCTTGAGGACCTGCTCCATGATTTTACCAGAGACTGAAGTGATGCTGACTGGTCTGTAGTTCACCAGGTTCTCTTTTTTCCCTTTTTTAAATATGGGCACGATATCTGCCTTTTTCCAATTGTCCGAGACCTCCCCCGATCGCCACGAATCTTCAGAGATAATGGCCAATGGCTCTGCGATCACTTCAGCCAACTCCCTCAGCACCCTTGGATGCATTGGATCTGGACCCATGGACTTGCGCATGCCCAGCTTTTCTAAATAGTCTTTAATCTGTTCTTTCACCACTTAGGGCTGCTCACCTACTCCCCATGCTGTGCTGCCCCGTGCAGCAGTCTGGGAGCTGACCTTGTCTGTGAAGACCAAGGCAAAAAAAGCTTTGAGTACTTCAGCTTTTTCCACTTCTGTCACTACTTTGCCTCCCCCATTCAGTAAGGGTCCCACACTTTCCCTGACCTTCTTCTTGTTGCTTACATACCTGTAGAAACCCCTCTTGTTACCCTTCACATCCCTTGCTAGCTGCAACTCCAACTGTGCTTTGGCCTTCCTGATTACACCCCTGCATACTCTAGCAATATTTTTATACTCTTCCCTAGTCATCTGTCCAAATTTCCACTTATTGTAAGCTTTCTTTTTGAGTTTAAGTTCACCGAAGATTTCACTGTTAAGCCAAGCTGGTTGTCTGCCATATCTGCTATGCTTTCTGCACTTCGGGATGATTTGTTCCTGTGCCCTCAATAAGGCTTCTTTAAAATAAAGCCAGCTCTCCTGGACTCCTGGCCCCCTCATATTAGCCTCCCAGGGGATCCTGCCCATCAGTTCCCTAAGTGAGTCTAAGTCTGCTTTTCTGAAGTCCAGGGTCTATATTTTGCTCCTCTTCTTTCTTCCTTTTTGTAAGCAGCAGGTCAAGAAGAGCATGGCCCTAGTCAGTTCCCCTAACACTTGTACCAGGAAGTTGTACTAATCAATGAAGCACGGTCTGCACAAGTTTCCAGACAGCCATGCTGAGCGACTGGCTTCCTCTTGCATCCATCTTTGCTTCTCCCCCTCCCAGCTGGCTTCCTACAAAGTCCAGCTTTGCTCTCTCCACCCTCAGGCCCCAACCCCAGTCTTCCTGCCATGGCACAAGAAAACAGGATGCTGAAAGACTTCCTAATTTCTTCTTCCTGGAGCAAGAACAAACAGCCAGCACCAATTCCAGACCAATGACAGATGAGCCTTGGAGGTTCAGTGCCCAAAATTTATCCTTTTTAAGGAGCCTTAGAAAACTCTTCCGGTGGGGCTAGAAATACTTTGCTGATGCCATCTCTACTTTTCCCATCACACCTCAGAACTGGGGGGCAAGGGGAGGGGGAGGTCATTTAAAGGGATACTGTCCACTTGAATCTAATTGTCAAATTATCAGAAACTGGATTTTTTTTAAAGATCCCCCTTTAAATAGTATTGACTTGAAAACATCCCTATTTCTTTAAAGCTATTAGAGGGGTTCGTGTTGTCTTGGCTCATGTTCAGAAGGGTCTTTGGGGTGGAACGGAGACCAATACCAATGAACGTGGTCAGGCCCACCCTTGCCCCTCCACTCTGCACACTCCTGCCAGCTGCCTCTTTAGTTTCTGTTTCAGCTCCATTACTGACCACCCTCTTGCAGGGCCTGGTACACAGGAAGGACTGTCCACCACTTAGGGCGCTAGCCAGAGACTCAGGAGATCTGGGTTTAATTCCCTGCTATGCTGAAGAGTTGGGGACTTGGTCAAGTGACTTAGAGACCAACAGCCAGAGAGACTATGGGAATGATGGTACTTGTGAAGACGAGTGCATTAGAGGTGCTCACATAATGTGATGATGGGAGCCATATAAGTACTTGCACATTTGCTCACCCAGAAGATAGGGTTTAATGAGCAACCACTGAGAGAAATTCTAAGATCTGTGTCATGCAGGCCACACTAGATCACAGTGATCCATCCTAGCCTTACAAATCTATTAAGATGTGAAGGGGTGAGTTTCCTGCAGACCGGGATCTGGGACAGAGCGTGTCATAAATGAGCGCCTTGCCAAGGAGTACAGACTAGGAATGATGTTCTCACGCTAAGCCTTAAGATGAGAAGTGCATCTGATTGCAACGAAACAATGAAACCGGCAACACGGCAATTATTGTCAAATGCACAAAATGAACTGGAAAAGAAATAGAGTTGTTTCCCCCTCTTGTCACTTTCACCAATAGGAATCCAAGTGTCATCTGTAAGTACAGCAGGTATTTTCAGAGAGAAATGTAACTTTCAAGTTGACAATGTCCCTTTTAATTGAACTTTTTTGGAACACAGTGTTCGGTTTAATTCTGGACAAAGGTTCTCATCCAGTTATGGCTGGAACATGTCCATTTTCCCAAACGCTGGAGCCAGCTGGCATACTTATGGGCACCCATTGCCCAGTGGGAACTTCACACAGGGATTTGTTTCTGGCTAAGAACACACAGAGCTCCCTGATGGAACTAGGTCTGGGGTCAAGAGCCCACCCTGTGCCTGCAACAATGCCCCTCAACCCACGCTGTGTGCCTGCAGTTTTATAAGCACCACCTTCCCAGCCTTACACCAAAGCTCTGCAATCAGCATTTTCCAGCACTATTGCCACATGCACCATGCTACTGACACAGCTACTTCCAGGAACAATAAGAGGGTGGGGGAGAGAACATGTGCCCACAGTGGTGGATAGCATAGTATCCTAACCAGGACACAGAGTCTCCCAAGCAGGTCTGGTTCCTGTCTAGATGAGGATTGTGAAGCGTGGCCCTCCCTTTCCCCAGGACACCCTAGGCAGAGAATCTTATATTGGTGTCTGGATCCCTCCCCATCCCTTCAGTCACTCAGGAAGCTCGCTCTGGCCAGCAACCCTCCTGCTCTAGGCGCGTGATAGAGAAACAGCAGCTAGCCAGCTTCTTCCCGCACTGAACTCCACAGTACTCCCTCCTGCCCCAGCGGGCCACGCCAAGCGGCCTCCAGTTCCGAAAGCCAGCGCGGGCCACGCCGGCTCTTTGCTCCCTCTTAAAATGTTCCTAATCCAGCAGGACGCTCCTAGGGATGTCTCGATCCCACAGCCAGGTAGAGCTCCTGGCGGTGCTAAGACTGAGCACACAGTGAACTTAATGAGTGATTTTTATGAGACACACACTGCAGCGTGTCTCTCGTAGATAGGCATCGATAAATATGTGGCAAGAAGGATATACACTATAAAGGGGTGCGTGGCTGTAGGGTGGCGGTAGCCAAAGCACCCAGGGGAGTTAGGCGGTGCGTACCTAACTCCCCTGGTGCTTTGGCTAACCCCACCCCGCCCGCAGGCATGGGGCAGCCCGCTCCTTGCAAACTCGCAGGGGAACTGCAAGCGACGGCGGCTGAACACCTCCACGGCCGGGCCCAGTTTCTCTCCCCCCAGCAGCTGCGGGCTGCTCCCCGCCCAGCCCCTCATTCAAACAATGGCCCCGCGAGCACTCACCCAGCCTAGGCCGGCGGCGGCAGTACGCGGCAGAACCGGCCGGTTTCTTCCCCCGCCTGCTACGGGGGGCAGCGGCCAGGGCCCCGAGCCGGCCGGACAAGGCAGGCCTTGCAGCGAACTCCACGGGAGAAGCGGGCAGAGGCGGAGGATAGTGCGGTACCAGCTGGGAGCAGTGGGGGCCGCCTGTCTGAGCCGGGAGTGATCTCATCCCGGCCCCCAGGCTGCGGGGGAGCTACCCGATTGGCTAGGCCGGCTGCCCCCGGGAGGGGCCCGGATCCGGGCAGGCCTGGGGAGCTACCGGGCAGGGTTGGGAGCGAGAGGTGGGGCTGCGGGCGGGTCTCGGGTTCTTGGCGCGGAGAAAGTGGGGTGAGGAGCAGCCGGTGGACAGGCCAACTTAACTTACCCTATTTCGGAGAGACGGTGCCTGTGTTACAGCAAACCCTTCATCCTCGTACCCCAACCTCCCCTCCATTGCGTTCCAAGGGGCGTCAGGGGGGACATCTGTGCAAGAGGGGGAATGGTCATAGAATCATAGAATATCTGGGTTGGAAGGGACCTCAGGAGGTCATGTAGTCCAACCCCCTGCTCAAAGTAGGACCAACACCAACTAAATCATCCCACTATTGTGGGGAACTTTCCGAGCTTATACACTACCCTGGTGAAGAGGGCTAGCGAAAGGAGCTGAGTCCTCACTCCCTTTACCCAGAGGCCTGCCTGACCTTGAGGGCTCCCTTTCCATGCTCTGGTGTGGCAGAGTCCTTGTAACCCCAACAAGGCTGGGCTCAGGACTTCTGGGGGCTTGACCTTCAACATTGTCATGATCACTTAGGGCAGGGGCTAGGGTGTCCCAATTCTGGATGCTTCCCTGACCCACTGATCATTACGAACAGTTTAAAGCAAATACAATTTATTAAACAGCAACTAATTACAAAAAATAAGTGGGGAAATGGGAAAGGTCAAAGGAAAACTCATCACCCCGCTCTGTGGGCACAGGGAACCACGAACAGCCATCGCTGACATGTCAGGGCAGTTCACAGTCTGTTCCTCATATTCCCAGGCCTCCTGCCCAGGCCCTGGCTGTGCTGCAGGGATGCCGCAGGTCGGACACTTGCTCTGGAGGTGGTAGGACCCTTCTTTCCAGCATCAGCCTCTCCCCCTTCTCTATTGGGGTTACATTCCCCCTCCAAGCCTGGCCTGCAAGGCATCTTTCTGCCTGGGGGTGTCTCCCTGCACTGGACCTGCTGTCCAGAGTCCCCCCTCGCTCTCCCCAGGTGCTCACCGCACCCAGCTCCAGACTGCTCCAGCCCCAGCACTGCTGCTGCTCTGCCTCCAGCCCTGTGGGCTGCTTCTGTGGCTCTGGTTGCTGCAGCTCTCCTCCCAGCGCAGGTCTGCTCCCTGGGCTGCTTCTCTGGCTTTTGTTGCTGTGGCTCTGCTCCCTTTGCTGCTTCTCTGATTCTCTCTGGCTGGCAAAGCCCTGCTTCCCAGCTTAACTCAGGCCCAAGCTTCACCATCATGGCTGTCACCCCCACCATCTCCTGTAACCTTGGACCTTCATTGTCCTGATCCTGAGATATGGCCTGACCAGACTGGGTCAAGAAAGAGGGACCCAGATAACATTGGCATCTCCACTGGCTCTGGCTAAATCCCAAATACCATCTGGTACGTGAGAGTTTGTCCCACACACCATATGTGTTCTTTTTCTTCCCCACCTTATTTCTTCCCTCTCCCTTTCCCTCCTGTCTAATAAGAGTCTTGCTCAGCTGGCCAAGACTGTGTATTTTGCAACTCTGCTGTAAGCCTGTGAGCAGAAAGAAAAGGAGTACTTGTGGCACCTTAGAGACTAACCAATTTATTTGAGCATAAGCTGTAGCTCACGAAAGCTTATGCTCAAATAAATTGGTTAGTCTCTAAGGTGCCACAAGTACTCCTTTTCTTTTTGTGAATACAGACTAACACGGCTGTTACTCTGAAACCTGTGAGCAGAAAGGCAGCTAAAAGCAGTGCCCTGAACAGCCTGACATTGGTACAAGTTTGCCAGGTCTCAGAGTGGCTGATAAGGCCATGTGCTGGGCCTCTGTTTTTCCAGCAGTGAGGGTGCAAGTGGAAGTTGACACCAGAAACAGATTCTGCATTTTCTATCTTTGCTGTTCCTTTATCTCCTCTTTTGTGTGTGTTTGTCTTGTTTTGTCATCTAGGACACAGGTTCGGACTTTAACAACACTAGCAACAATGACAGCTCCAGCCCATATCTACTAACGTCTTTGTTAGGACAGTTATTACCATCTTTTATACCATCTAATTCCATCACAGGGAAGGAGTTCATTCTAAAAACTCTCCCCAGTTACAACAACGAGGAGTCATTGTGGCACCTTAGAGACTAACACATTTATTTGGGCATAAGCTTTTGTGGGCTAAAACCCACTACACCAGATGCATGGAGTGAAAAATACAGTAAGCAGTATATATATTACAGCACATGAAAAGATGGGAGTTGCCTTACCAAGTGGGGGGGTCTCCATCTAAATTAATGGGGCTTCAAAGCCACTTATATCTGGGAGGGGTACAATGTGGTGTTGGGGGGCCATTGTGGTACTGTGGCTAAATCACAGGACTGGGGCTTTCGGGTCCTGAGTGCTAAACATAGGTCTGCCCGTGTTTGATTGTATGGCCTTGGGCAAATTGCTTTTCCTTGAATCCTTTGTCTGTCTTGGCTAGTTAGATGGTAAACTCCTGGAGACAGTTCCTGCCCCTTACTGTGTCATTGCAACGCTTAGCACAATGGGGTCCTGATCTCAGGTCCTTTGGAGCATTTAGCAACCCCTGCAGAGCACAGTTTGAGCCTTAATCCTCCACCACCAGGAGTTTGTATTTGCCAAATGCAAACCAAAAATCCCCCTCCACCTTTGTGACCTGTCAGGCTTTATCCTCCCCCAGCCCTACTTCCCTGGGAACACACCAACTGCAGCAAATATTCAAGCACTGGATGGATCTTAGCTCAACACTGTGACGTTCCAATTTTTAAAACATTGCTGAGGCCAGTGGGATTGGCTTGTTGCGAAGAGGGGGAGGATTGAGAACTACCCCCTCCCCTGCACATGCAGACAATGTGGTCCCTTTGAGCTGTGGCCAAAAACAGTCTGCCTCTGTGCATACAGCCAGGACCACAACCCTCCACTCCCAGAAATGGCTGGGGTAGATAGGAAGCATGGACATATAATAGCATGGGGCAAGGGTGGCCAACCTGAACCTGAGAAGGATCCAGAATTTACCAATGTACATTGCCAAAGAGCCACAGTATTTCATCAAAAAGAAAAGGAGTACTTGTGGCACCTTAGAGACTAACCAATTTATTTGAGCATGAGCTTTTGTGAGCTACAGCTCACTTCATCGGATGCTGTAGCTCACGAAAGCTCATGCTCAAATAAATTGGTTAGTCTCTAAGGTGCCACAAGTACTCCTTTTCTTTTTGCGAATACAGACTAACACGGCTGTTACTCTGAAACCAGTATTTCATCAGCAGCCCCACATCAGCTCTCCCCACCTGCTCCCAGCACCTCCCGCCTACCAGCAGCCCCACTGATCAGTGCCTCCTCCTCCCTCCTGATCAGCTGTCTCGTGGAGTGCAGGAGGCTCTGGGGGGAGGGGGAGGAGCAAGGGCATGGCAGGCTCAGGGGAGGGGCTGGGAAGGGGTGGAGTGAGGGCAGGGCCTGTGGCAGAGCTAGGGGTTGAGCAGTGAGCATTCCCCAGCACATTGGAAAGTTGGCACCTGTAGCTCCAGCCCTGGAGTCGGTGCCTATACAAGGAGCAGCATATTAACTTCTGAAGAGCCACATGTGGCTCTGGAGCCACAGGTTGGCCACCGCTGGTGTGGGGGTTGGGGACAGAGAGAGATCCAATCAAACAGGGAAGGGAAGAGGAGAGGGAAACAGGAGAAAAGACCCGTGGTAAGAGAAGAGTAAGTGGGGTTTGCTGGTGGAGTTGGGGGCATTCTGTTGGGGGAAGGGGGTGAACGACTCTGTGCATGTGATGTATTTGTGCCAGGAAGCTCTGCTCAGATGATGGCTATGTGATGTATTTTCTTAGAGGAGCTCATTTTCAGATGCATGCAAGTGTGCGTCAGATGTGTTTCCCCACAGGAAATGGCTTCTTGTTTTTAACCTGTTTTCCATCCTGGCTGACAGGCTGTATGGACGCATCAGTGTTGCCAGCTTTTGTGAACTGATCATGAGTTTCATGATGTTTTGTGTTTGTTCCTGAAGCCCCAGCTCCAGGGGTCAGGTGACTAAGTGAAAATCTTGGCTCACTATTTTTTAAAAAAGGAAGTTTCTAGCCCTCATGATTGGGAAGAAAAGCTGAAATCAAAGAGCTCAAAAAGAATCTGACATTCTTTATTTTTATAATCTCAGGATTATCTGTTAGGGGGCTCACTCCGGATTTTTGAGTCCTTGGGCTCGACTTGCCCCAGGTCATGGCTCATATGAGTAGGGGGAAGGATAATCCTGCAAAAGTCTAGGACCGAGGCTTAGTCTGCATGGCACAGTTTTTGCCAGAATAGCTGTGTTGACGAGGAGTATGAAAAAGTCACACACATCCCAGTGGATGTAGCTATGCCATGCCAGCAATTCCCCTGCTGTAGGTGCAACTGTACTGACAGAAGAGTGCCTTTGGCGGCATAGCTAAGGTCATTCGGGAAGCGGGGTAGCTAAGCTGGCGGAATTCTTTTTGTGAGTATATGTTGTGTCTCCCCTAGGAAGCTTTGCTTGCATAACTGTACTGGGAAAGGTTTCAGAGTAATAGCCGTGTTAGTCTATTCGCAAAAAGAAAAGGAGTACTTTTGGCACCTTAGAGACTAACCAATTTATTTGATGCATCCGATGAAGTGAGCTGTAGCTCACAAAAGCTTATGCTCAAATAAATTGTTTAGTCTCTAAGGTGCCACAAGTACTCCTTTTCTTTTTGTGTATACTGGGAAAGGCTCTGTAGTGTAGACAAGCCCTAAGTCAGGAGTTCTCTTTGATGCTGGGCAAGTCAGCAGTGCAACTGGGTTTTTTGGGGTGCTCAACTTGAGATACCTGCAGCCTGATTTTCACAGGTGCTGAATACTTGCCCCTGAGCTCAACTGGAGGGAAAAGCACTTCAGAAAAGCAGACACAAGCTGTCTCATGTTTACCACCCAACAATTGGGGCACCCAGAGTCACTTTAGGTGGTA